CTGTTGATGACGTCAGCTACGCGGTTTAGTCGAGCGCGGTTTAGTCGAACCCAGTTTTGTGGTGGAATCGATTCACTTTATATACACTTCATGCTTTTTTGAACGCCATTTTGTGCACTCCATCTACTACTACTACTAGGCCAGGATGGCAAACCTTTTGGACTCAGCATGACAAAAAAAAAAAAAAATGCCTACCTTGACTCTGCTGGCATGTCACATGAACTTGTGATGCGATGAAGAGACTGGGTAGCTACTTGTCAGAAATGGCATAGGGTCTCCTGCATGAGCAGGGGGTTGGACTAGATGACCTACAAGGTCCTATTTTTATTGTATGCTACAATATAATAAAAATACATTTTATTAGTTATCAGACAATATCAAAAAGGTGCAAAAAAGATTACAGAAAAAAAACAGTAGGACATATTCAATAACAATTGTCATTTCTCCAATCAGTCCAAATCTGTTTTTTTGTACCCAATTCTTTTCAAAATGGTCTTTAATATGGAAATGATAGTCTTCCTGGTAATATGCATATTCATTTTCTACAAGAGATATGATAGTTCATCTGAATGCACCAGTATTTCTGAGATTTTTATAATAAAGATGTAAGTAAATGGCTTTCCAGAAAAAGTAATCAAACAGATTGTATATGATATATTCAATAATTAATATAGCACATATGCACAGTCTTTCTGCATCTTTCTAGTTAACAGAGAAGGGCTCTGTTGTGTAGTACATTTAGAGTCTAGATCATGGATATCAAACTTGTGGCATCATGTTGACGTTATGTGATGTATCACAATGTTTTTCCCTTTTATGGAGCTAGGGTGGGCATGGCCTGTGTGTGAAACATCTAGCCCATGGGCTGCCAATTTGACACCCTGATCTAGATTATCTAAAAGGAAGAATGTTCACAGCCCAGGAAACCTTAATTTAGAATAATTTCTTCCAATCTATTAATTGGATTTATTACTATTACGATGCTATGTTAACTCATATGATTTGTTTTATAAACTGCATTTTGATTTATTAGGTTACATTAAGTAAGGTAATTATGTGTGGCATAAACTATTAAGCAAAGCATGACTTAGGATACTATGGGAATATAATTTCCATGTATGTATGTATGTATGTATGTATGTATGTATGTATGTATGTATGTATGTATGTATGTATGTATATGATGTATATAGAAAAAAGTTGCTTACACTCCTCTCTTATTTTTATAGTTTGGTGGAAGGATCTCTTCCTCCTAGCCTTCAGAAGACTTTAAGACTTGGTGCGGGGAGGAAGTACCTCTTGATGTGCCCTAATTGTGGCTTTTGTTCTTGTTGACTTTTTCAATGTTGGTGTGATGTGATTTTGCATTCATTATTGTAAGCTATCCAGAGTAGCATTTCTGAGACCCTGATGTACATATCAACCAACTAATCAATGGCTGTTTACCTGCCGTAGGTCATCCATTCCCTACATGCAGTGCACACCTATCCGCTGGTGGCAATCAGTTGTGTGCCTATTGAAGAAACTGCCCTCAGCAAAAGCTTCCGGGCCATCTCGAGTCCTTTACCTATCAGGCGCCCACCAATATCCTTGCGGGTTCGCCAGAAAGCAGCGAGGATGGTTTCCCAAGACACTCGGGGGCCTGAGTCTGGGGCCTCCTAGTTCGCGGGGTAACGAGTAGGGTGGTGATACGTGAGAATTGCCGAAGCGATCCCAGGCAGAGGAGAGCAATTCTGCAGCCCTAAAAGAATCGAATGGCTCGGGGGGAGCTTGTATTACTTAACCGCATTTAACCGCTTTGTTGCAGCTACTGCATTATTATTCGGACGCCTTGCTTTCATTACTTTGGGGAAGGAGGCGCCTGATACAGTGGGACTCGCATATAGGTGTTAAGGAGGGACAGATCCGCTCTGTGACAGCACCGCCGCCGCTTTAATAACAGCAGTTGCGGCGGCAGCAAGGGGGCGAGGCACATTTCCTTCTCCTTTTCGCTAACAGAGAGGCGTTCTTTCTGGCGCAGCCTTGCGGCGAGGAGCAAAACGGTCAGATCACCGCGAAGGGCCGGCACAGTCCTCTGCCAGTGGAACCTAGGCTGCTGGAGCAGCTTGGCGGCGGCCCCTCGGCTTCTCAAAGCGCAGAGATAGGCTCCGTTCCCTCATCTCTGGATCGCCAAATCACGCTCAGCCAACATGGACCCTGACTCTAAGAGGACCGCGGCGGAGAAAGGGAGCCCGTTGCAACCCCCGGAAGAAGAGGAGGAAGTGGACCCCAGGATACAAGTAAGCGGAGCCTCTGATCGCTCTACCCGAGATCCTTGGGAGAGTGGCCCCAAAGCACGATTGCAGTGGAAAGTGGGTGGGGTGATAGGATCGGGGTGCGAGAAGGTCTGTAATTACAAAGTAAGCGCGCGTTGTACGCCCTTGTTCTTTGAATCTTCCTGAATATCGTTCGCTTTTTCTCCCTCGGGCGTTTCTATCCGTTATTTTGATGGTGGTGGGTCTCCTCCCCTGTTTTTGGCTTTGGCTTTATTAGATTTCCGCCAACGTATTTCTACACCTGGCTGGAGAAACTCATTTCAAAGGAAAAATGCTCCCGTTTCTAAAGGGGCTTTATTCTTCATCTACGGATCGGCATTTTCTTTCCCGTGGCAGATCCTTCCTCTCCCAGTTTGCTTCAGTTTCCTGGATTCAGCTCCTCTCCACAATGGGAGACCACCAAGGTCTCGTGACCTAGAAGAACTCTAAAAGGTTGGGGGCGAGTTAGAAAAGATCGGAAAGGACCTTGGGGGTAATTTAATCCATAGGATCTTGCTGTAGTCCTATTAAAAGGCAGTACTTCATCATTGTTAGTAGATGATGCCAGCTCCTGTTCTAAATGTCACCGTGACCCTGTCATGAAGAAAGTGTAAGTCTCTGGATGTCCCCAAACTCTGATGTATTGTAGTAGTTCAGATCATCCCCATGCTGCAGATCTCAGGTGACAGCATTTAACTGGATACAGCTACTCTTGAAAAGTGCGTTGATACCTGGATGGAAAACAGCTATGAAATCCCAAAGCCATAAAAATGGACAAAAACAATCATCCTGGAAAAAGGAGGGTGGCAAATCAGTTTTATATCATTGCCAATAAAAGTGTATGTGTGATAGTTTGACTTGAGGGAAAGACATCTAGATGTAGATTTAACTCAGATTGAGGAGGTTAACATAAAGACTGGTGCCACTTTGACAGAATACATAGGAAGGGATGTTATATATTGTTACAATCTCTCACTTTCCCTATTGCTGCTAAAAGTTGTAGGAAGCATCTCCTTCCCAACTACAAACTTGGCCAATTTGTGAATGTAGTGGAAATTTGTAGTTTGGGAATCAGAAGAAAGATTTATTGGTGACTAAGGAAATGGCACTTTTTAAATAGCATAACCATTGCACATTTTCTACGAAATTCCTTCTCTACGTGGTTCTTCTGTGGCAGATCTGTTGCCCACTAAAAGATTTATATTGCCAGTTGTCTGGCACAAATGCATTCATTCAGTGATGCCAGTGTCTCAATCTTGGTTTCATTTTGCTGGCTGTGGTTTGTAACTATTCTGTGATTTTTGTGATTTATTATTTGGAATTGTGTTTGCTTTCCCCCTAAATTTATTTCTTAAGCTCTTTGGAATACATTTAAGTGGACTTTGTTATGAATAAAATCCTGATTGCTTTTACAGTCCACTTTTTAAAACAAAAAATACGATATTCATTCTTATGATACTCATGCCAATAATTTAAGAGTTTCCTTCATTTTATCAGATTGGGGTTGGTAACAATAATCATGATATTGCCATGGATGGGAAATGTTTACCAGCCAATTACATTGGCAATTCACTGCAACTATTCCTTTCAATAGAGTTTCATAATACCTTTCCATAGACAGGGAAGCAAAGTTAAAATAAAAAGCAATGGACTGCAAATGATCCAAAACATTGTTTGAAAGAAGAAGCTCTTTTTCCTTTCCTTCCCTCCCTATCAGTCCCTGGCTTGAAGGAGACTGTTCCTTTATAGTTAATTATTGATGTATTTGATTTTTTTAACTTTTACTTGTATTACTTTATAAGTAACATGAGGCCAATATACCAGTTATCCTTGACTTAAGACAATTGAGATCAAAAGCAAGATGGTTAAATGAGTTGCAATCGATTTGACCTTTTTACCATGGTTATTAAGTGAACCATATGGTTGTTAAGCAAATTCAGCTTCCCTGATTGACTTGTCAAACTGGCTGAGAAGGTCCCAAATTGTGACCACATGACTCCAGGATGCTGTATTCATCATAAATACACACCAGTTGCTAAGTGCTTCAATTTTGATCATATGACTACAAAGATGTTGCAATGGTTATAAAAGTGGAATGGTTGTAATTAAATGTTTTCATTGCTTTTGTAACTTTGAACAGTTACTAAATGAATGGTTATAAGTTTAGACTATCTGTACTCCTTCTTCCTCTTATTTTCCCTGAAATAGTAACCTTATGAGGAGGGTTGAACTGAGAGAGAATAACGGGCTCAATGACACCCATATCATAACCTTTCAAACCAGATTAAAACTCACAGCCTCATGGTTTTTAGGTCAGGATTTTAACCCCTACACAAAATTGGTTCTGTTTTTTAACTTTCTTAAGTGCATTTAAAATGGTTGATTTTTTTTTTATAGATAGATACTGGCAGTAGCACAAAAATAAACATCTAACTTTTCAGTAAGTTTATCTGTTCAAATATCTCCTTGTTTATATTATTGGCACTCTTAATGAATGTGGAGCAATTATGCTAGTTTGCTCTGTAATACTATTGTAACAATTAGTAAACAAGCCTCTGAAAATCTTTGTTTTCCCTCTTAAAAATCTAGAGATGTAAACTCTAGTTATAATATTGATATAACTATCTGATACAAAGAATGATAAAATGGCATCACTGTGAAAATAATGTAAATTACATAATTCATGACTTCATACTTATCCCCTTCTCTGCCATATAGACATCATGCAAGGAATTCAATCAAGAATATTGATAGCCATATGAGCTTTGTCAAATCTCTCTCTTACTAGAAGTTGTACTTCAGAGAGTCTTTTTACTGTTTTAGTGAGAATGTGAGAAAAATATGTACATTGTCTTTTTCTCCTTGAAAGAATGACAGGGCAAACATATAATAAATAAAAAATATTTTAGTATTTTATGCTATGAATTTTGCATGGAATTTCTTTATTTACTATTGGAACCAAACACTTAGGGCCTTCAAGAACTAAGAGAATATGTTGTATTTGTCATCCCACTTTTTCCCAATCTTTTGATCATTTGTCATTTTGCTAAGAGTGCCACACTAAACAATTATGCAGAGTTCAATAGTAATAGAAAAAAAACAAGAACCCTGAAACTGAAATTAGAATTATGTTAAAAATTAAGCTTCAAAAGCTGTCTGGTCTCTGTTTCTGCCCTTTCAAACAGCCTAGCTAAAGTAAAGTTCAATTTTACTTTTAAATGTTTTCTAGCCTTCTGTTTCTATTTAACATTCCATTAGGGGCCTCTCTGTGAATTGCCAGATGACACTTAATAACTTGATTCCTCCCACGGCTCCCTCAGTGTCTTATTACTCAACATATTATTTTGACTTTCTTCTAGGTAGAACTAGAAAAGTTGAATCAATCTACAGATTATATTAATCGGAGAGAAACGGAACTTGAGGTACACTTTTTCTTTGCTGTTTTATCTAAACATTCAGCTATATTTCTTTTATTTATTACATTTCCGCTGGAAAAGATTTTTGCAAAAGAAACTGATGAAAACATTTGTATGGATTAAATCAGTGAATGAAGGAAAAGAAAGTCAACTATATCCATCTCTGATACTGAAATTGAATGAAACGTTCTGTGCATAGTACCATGGATTCCATTAATCTTCTTTATTAATCTTACGCCAACCCAAAAAATCATGCTTAGGAATCCATGTGGCAATTAATGTTGTTTCAAAACATTGTTTTATTTTCTTAAAGTACCAAACGTACATTTTCTTGGGGTACAAAAATTAGAAAAAAGCAGGAAAGTAAATTTATAAATAGAATTCATTTATCTCAAAACTATATAGATTATTAAAAATAAAAATGTTAAAACATATAGAAAAATATAGTAGTAACTAAATTATTGTATTTCTAAATTCACAAAAACAACACAAAACAATGCAGCTATCAAATTAATTTGAGACCACATGAAAATATGTTTATTTTTTTTAAATCAGGGCAACCTGGTCTACCCAAATATGGGATGGAGCATACTGCTTCCGCTTTTGCCTTTCAACCCCAATCCAGAGGCCTTTGCAGGCAGTCACTTTTGTGACAAACTATTTTTGTGTTAAATTTGTATTTATCTCCTTTTATTTCTTTGTCAGTAAATATAAATTTAACACATGAAAATATATTTTCTGATCTTTCTTTTCTGCGAATATAAAGCCACATGACACCCAAAACCTATGTTATACCAGAGCAATTGTAAATTATATTTGGACATAACAACAATTCAGAATTCCTAACATACTATGAATTAGAAAGGTGGTGGGTGACTCAGCCTCTCCCTTCCAATTTTGTGTGTGTAACGCTAATGAGTTGCAGACAGCTATAATAGACTCTGTGGTTAGGTTGGTCCAAACAAGATGGGCCTATAAGCCAGTAATAATTCAGAATGCTTGTTTTTTTTCCTGAATCGAGTTTATTTTTCACAGCAAAAAATAATAACAAGAAAAACAAAACTGTTAGATGCCAGAAACAATGGTAATGGTTTATACCAAGGTCCTCTGTTCCGGTGGGAACAGAGATTCAATATGATTAGTTGAAGGGTCTGACAGCTCCCTATAAAAGGGCTGCTGTCAGACTGAACCTTTGCTGGATTGTACATAGTTGACTTGTGCTAATAAAGAGCTGTTTGTTACTCTGAAGCCTGAGTGTGCCTTCAATCACCCAATCTAACAAACTTCAATTCTGATAATTCTTAGCTGGTACACTGGAGGCCAAATTGTGAAAGCTGAACATATTTATATACTACCAAGATGAGAAAGATTGCTTCTTCTTTACATTACAGAATTACAGAGTTGGAAGGGACCTTGAAGGTCTTCTAATCCAATCTCCTGTATAAGCAGGAGACCCTATACCATTTCTGACAAACAGTTATTCGGTGTCTTTTTAAAAGCCTCCAGTGTTGGAGCATCCACAACTTCTGGAGGTAGGTTATTCCACTAATTAATTGTTGTAACTGTCAGGAAATTTAGTTCTTGGTTACTTCTCTCCTTGATTAGTTTCCACCCATTGCTTCTCGCTCCACCCTCAGATGCTTTGGAGAAAAGTTTGACTCTGTTAGATTGGGTGAATGA